CAAAAGTTAAAAACCACCCAGTTTTGACATTTTCCCCTTTGCACACACACACACAATCACTCAATGATATCAGAAGCACACGCCTAAGCAGGCATGTACATGCCACACGTACACATATATTCACGCAAGATATATACACTAAGTTATGCAAGCAAGCACACACGAAGCAAGGTAGACACAAAGCTAAGACTCAAGCAAAAGATTGGCTATACACACAGCCCTACATAATCACTCAAGCATACACAAGCTAAGATGTGCACACAAGACGACTGATATAATTGCACACAAACAAATGACGGTAATTGATTCCGTATATCAATGTTAGGATAGAAACAATCTAAGATTTACACAAACTAGGTTATGCAAATAAGATTAGACTGCAGCAAATGCATGTGCATGAGCCAAGACGTACAAACTAAGATGAATACATACGATAAAACACAGCAACAGTATGCATACACACCAAGACATAATATACACACAACTACATTGTACAGTCAAGCATTAGGTCGGGCAGGTTCAAACAGACTCATCCGACACTGACATTCACTAAGTACACACAACTATACACGCAAAGACAGACACAAACCATTATATACATGAGATGAGCTGATACATAACACGCATACATGCACACACGTTGACATACATCTGTATCATATATACACAAACTAAGACTTTTAAATTTACATCGGACATATATGCACACAAGCAAAGGCAGACACACCATAACATGCCCAGATGAACGTGACAGGATATATGCCCATTCAGTATTGCGAGACACAAGCTGAACGCACAATCATTCAGGCGAAGACAACGACACGTGACAGCACAACGACACGTGGCGACACGACACGTGACAACACAACAACACGTGACAACACGACACGTGGCACAACGACACGTGACAGCACGACACGTGACAACACGACACGTGACAACACGACACGTGACAGCACAACGACACGTGACAACTCGACGACACGTGACAACACGACACCACGTGACAACACAACGACACGTGACAACACAACGACACGTGACAGCACAACGACACGTGACAGCACGACGACAAGCCGGGCAACACGACACGTGACAACACGACGACACGTGACAACTCGACGACACGTGACGACACAACGACACGTGACAACACGATACGTGACGACACAACGACACGTGACAACACGACGACACGTGACGACACAACAACACGTGCATACACACCAACACGTGACAACACAACGACACGTGACAACACAACGACACGTGACAGCACAACGACACGTGACAGCACGACGACAAGCCGGGCAACACGACACGTGACAACACGACGACACGTGACAACTCGACGACACGTGACGACACAACGACACGTGACAACACGATACGTGACGACACAACGACACGTGACAACACGACGACACGTGACGACACAACAACACGTGCATACACACCAACACGTGACAACACAACGACACGTGACAACACAACGACACGTGACAACACGACACGTGACGACACAACAACACGTGACAGAATGCAACAACGACAAGCCGTCAGCACAACCCGCACACCATTCATGGACACGAACCACCATCACAGCATTTACATTACACAGCCTCATTGATACTGGACACTACGTTGTGTTGTTACTTTGTGGGGCAGTACAGGAAGAGAAAGCAATATTGTTGTACTACTGTTCTATGCTCCCACGTCTATATGCAAACAACCCCTCACCCCCAGGGATCAGCAAGCACGTCGTGTGTGAGAGTTCCTCATCCAACAAGGGGGCTGTGCATGTACACAATCTAAGACGTCGACACAAGCGACGTTAGTCGACACCACGCAAGCGAGCGAGAGCAATGGACACGGGGAGACACTTAACGAGCCGAGATTTACAAACAGGCTTGGGCATGCACAGCGACAGAGATACATACACACACAGGCACATGCTGTTAATACGACTACATAACACTCATAGGAATGCACAAGGTTAACACATGATAACACAAACAAACAGGCTTGGACATGCACAGAACAGATATGTACAGAGTCACATACTTGTTAATACGACTACATAACACAGGCATGCACAAGATTGACAAATGCTAACACACACAGCAAAGACACGCATTGCACACACAATCACCCAAGACGTACACGCAGGCTGACGTGCACACAAGGTTAAGATGTATGCAGTACACTGCATAAATACACAACACACACAATGGGTTACGTGCTTGTCAACAGCACGAAAGCCAAGACACACAACGAGATGCAATAACTCGCACGCAGAAAAGCATATTGGATGTCCGGAATATGATGCACATTTTTTTTTTGCCAAGATATGCAGTGCACACAAGCTGAAGATATATGTGTACAAGTCAGGGCAACAACAACAACAACAACCCCCCGTGCTAGGCTAGGTGCACGTTGAGACTACAGTGATCACGTGGAGTGTGGAAGGAGGTCACGGAACAGATGACCCCAGGGTGCTGTGGTTTGAACCGAGATGACTGTCAGATATTATAGGACTCACCCCACACACACACATATATAAGAGCATTGGGATATGCACTCACTAAAGACATACACAGCACAAGCAGAATAAGAATACTCTTAGGTTGTTGTCGGTAAAGTCACAAAATAATAATATAAATAAAATAACAATAAATTAAATTAAAGGGCCACCCCGTGATTTAATTGATTTATTATTATTTTATTTATATTATTATTTTCGTGTATTACTATTTTATTTCAATTTTTTTTACCTACGTGACTTTACCGAAAAAACCTAAGAGTATGAATCCGTGCAGTCACGAAAGCTTCAAATCTAGAACAGAATATCTACTCCCCCCCCCCCCCCCCACAGATGTCCACACAAGCTAAGATGTTCCACACCAGCTTAAGACACGCAACTGCACACGCTAATAAAGAGATATTTAAATGTGCAGTATATACACCAATGTCAGGCTGTCTACTGCACGTAAGTTTTAGACATTCTGCAAAAAAACAATTAACATCCAGATTGTTATCAAAATTGTGAACTTGTCATCGTATGCAAGCGAGCAAAGGTAAAGTCCCCCCGTATAGCCTTTAACAGACTGGTGGGGGCAAGTGCTCTTAGGTCGGAAAGGCTCACGTCCAGCAAGCACGCCCGGCCGTCTTTGTCTCCCCCCCCCCCAATGCGTAGTAGACACTGCCCCAAGGCACAGTCCTAACCGCTGCGCCACCGCTCCCCCGGCGCCGCGCTAACCGCTGCGCCACCGCTCCCAAGCCTCGAGTGGCAACAACAACAACGAAGGTGAGCAATGGGAAGTAAACATCCGTGTAAACAAAACGTTAACAAACTAAACCCCCCCCCCCCCAACATCGTGCACACAACAAGACTCTACACATAGAACTTCAAACGCGAAGTCACTTGAAGATGGTTTGTTGTTTGTTGAACCCGATTCAAGAGCCGAATGTCTCACAGGGCTTTATACACATTCACCCAAATACATGAAACTGAACGCAGTAGAGGGGACAAAGCAACGTTAAACAAGACTACCCGATAGTCTTAGGTTGTTTCGGTAAAGTCACGTAGGTAAAAATAAATAATAAAAATAATAGAAATACATTTATTTATATTATTATTTCAATTATAATAGAAATAAATGTATTTCTATTATTATTTCAATTATAATATAAATAAATGTATTTATATTAGTATTTCAATTATAATAGAAATAAATGTATTTCTATTATTATTTCAATTATTTTTATTATTTATTTTTACCTACGTGACTTTACCGAAAAAACCTAAGAGTATGAATCCTTGCAGTCACAAAAAGCTTCAAATCTAAAAACTACCGGACGCCAATAATCACCGATCGATAGCGAGTCGATGGAGGCATTACAACACATCACGGTCACACTCGCTGGACGACTGGAGGGTGCGATGTTTCTTTATTGTTTGTGTTGTTCACACAACGCAGCAGCAGCAGAAGAAGACACTTTGCTTGTACAACAATCACCACCCCCGCGAGTAATCACGGAGCAATTTGACATCAGACGTCGACGTCCGCCCCGTACATCGCACGCAAAAAAGAAGCGAATGCATTAAGGATGCAACGTCGGACGAGGATGTTTACACACAGACACGTGTGTAAGTGTGTGTCTCTGTACACAGACACTGACATACGTAGAAGACGAAGACGACGTCTATGGGGCACCACATTACACACACGGCGTGTCCGGAGTGCGAGGCGTGCTGCTCATGGTTCGATATCCACAACAGACAAAGATCCCCCGTGTAGCCTTGACAGCCTGTCGGGGCAAGTGCTGTTAGCGAGCAGCTGTAAGGGCTGCCGGCACTGGCACACACGAGGTGGTGAGTGGGTGGCCAGCACCACACCCGGCCGCCTTTGTCTCCCCAGCGCTGGCGATGTTTACAACACACCGCACCGGGGTACTAATTTGAGGCCGAGTCGACCTAGGGGGCCGCGAGCGGGAATCGAACCAGGGCGGGCCGGGGTCGTAGCGCAGCGCGATGCGCTAACCGCTGCGCCACCGCTCCCCACTACACACACGGTCACATGCCCCTCTCTCTCACACACACACACACGGGGCTCTCTTGCGATGTAAGAACCCGGCTATTATTGTGTCATATCGTGGAACGCTCCAGTGTCTCGTGGTGACAACAAAGCTGAGACAGCTGCTATAAAAGACGGCTTAGTGTCTACACTTCACGCACATGGAGGTTAGGTGGTTAGTGGCGGTGTGCTGCCGAACGCTCTCCAACACACACACATATATATACAGTGCATCTATCTCTACGTAAGCTCCACTCGTCTTGCACATTTATAAAGGGCCACCCCGTGCACGAGTGAATTGTGCAGATGACGGAGCACCCTCCTCCCGCTGCAAGCCGCGTCGTCGACGATGGAATGATATTGGTGGTGGTTGTTGATGTGCTGTGAAGATGATGGTGGTGGTAGCGATGACGACGACCTCACCTCGGCAGGAATCCTGTTCCTCAGCTCCAACTGAACCCTCTTCTTCATGTCCATCGTTTGATTTCGGAGGTCGCAACCCACTGCTCGCAAATAGTGAAATGTTTTTTTTTGCCAGGAACCTCGGAGACCCCGCGTCACTCCAAAATAAATCGCTCTTCTCTCTCCCGTTTAGCCAGGACACGCGAGGCAACTTGGCGGTACGGAGCCAGAGCTAAAGGGGGGCTGCTCCCTCTTTCCGAGGCAGCCAGGCACACAGATCAAGGCAAGGTTTGTCCAGGGGAAAGTGCAATACCGCCACCTTACGAATACTGCCCTCAATTGGCAAAGCAACGCCACTTCAGCAGAAGCAAGCCAGCCGGCAAGCAGCCTGGTTTTTTTTACAAGTTTTCCATCAAATTTTTTTGGTTGCTGTATAGTTTCAAAGTTTTGCGCGGAGCAAGTTTTAAGTATTTATTTTCAGCTTGTCGATCACGTTCCAATGTATTTGTTAGCCTCTGCTGTGCTTTTGTGTGTTTGTGAGGTTGCAGATTCAATTTGGGGGGGAGTTGGGTTGCGTTCAGTTTTTTTGGTGAATGTGAACATGTTCATTATTGGTTAACCGATTGTGCGTCCAATTTCACAAAGCCAAAAGCATTGATCACATAAGCACTGCGATTAGTGTGGTTCGTGATCAAATATATAAAAAAATGTACAACTGATAAAATGTGTTTCTTGCATTTAAAAATAGTTCAGAAAATTCCAGTGTATTAACCGAGTTATTCAATAGCAATTCACATTTATTCCAATCTGAAACCATATACTTTGAATCCAAATTATGTTTTATATACATTCCACAGTTGGCATTTATTTCACCATTTAATTTTAAGGCAATTTTTATTAGTTAACACCGATGGCCAAATCACACCCAAATGTGCCCGATCGCATACATTCTCTCAGATGCCAAGCAGGTTTAATCCTGGATGGGTGCTTTAATGGACGATCACAACTGCATGTATCAGGTGTTGTAGGCAGGTGTGGGGTACAGCAAAATCAATTGCTGTACCATACTATTTCCGTACATGCTCCCCAGATTCAAATTTCACTGGTAAGCGTGGTGACGCACAGTCAATTTGCGCAGCGTTGGGAGTCCCTCGTCAACGCGAGAAGACTGGCAAGATCTAAAACCCAAACAGAGAAGTCAGCAGTTATGTTCACTGTTGTGGCGCATTTAATCACCTAAACTTGCCTCCAGGTTTGGCTGTGATGAATAAACTTCAATACAGTAAAAAAACTCATCACCTGTTTACAATCAGAGCAATACAATAAAAAGCCGGTGAAGTGATCCAACATTTTATTTACACCAGACGGTTCAGCATTTTGATAACCAAACATTAGATAAGAGTAGGATGGTCTATTTTGCACATTAAAATACACGCACATTGGTTAGGGGCGATACCCATATGCAGGCGAGGACAAACACAGACTCTTGTGTAACAGCAACGCTTAGCAAGGTTTGGGGGTAAAAACAATTCTTAGCGTTCCCGTGGACCATTGTGGACTTCTCGGTGAAGGCGCCATGGCATTACTGCGCGGTTAATCGTAGAAACCCTTTAGTTGCGCTTGAAGAAATTTGAGCGGAACTGTTGAGTGAGCTGCAGCTTTCTTGGCATTGCCCTTGGCTTGTTTGGTTAACACTCGAGTTCGCAATTGGGGAAGGTCGTGAATTCAAATGGCAGTCAGGGGTCACACACTGGGTTCACCGTCACCACTGGGACGATAAAATAAATATCACCTCTAGGCATGTAACGATTCGTCAAACATAGTTTCTTGCACTCACAGAACATGCATTAAATCCTGTGCGTGAGAACAAGTTATTGTCAACTTGCAACTGGTTCACGTGATTTCTGCAGCCACTAGAGGTGCTACAATCACCATGATGTAAAAAAAAAAGATCCTGAATTAAATTGTGATCTTCATAAAATTGCAAGGCAGGCAAATCGTTACATGCCTAATCACTGTGACGCGATAAATGAACAGCATTTGCCCTGTGGATAAACTTGACTCCCACCATAGGAATGTGGAATTTATAACGTTAGCTCAAGTGCTGCCAATGGAGATAAGAGCGCCCCCCAAAATGCCCGCGCTCCCCACAAACCAACGTTCGTTTGAGCCGGGAAAGCCACTTCGACGTTGTCGCTGCATCCTGCAACGAGAGACATCCCCCCCCTCCTTCCCAAGAACTTTCATCACATGTCACATGATGGTGGTTCCGTCCTTGAGTGTGCCCAGGGCATCCATCTGCTGCGTGAGCGCGATGACTTCGCGGTAGCCGGCGCCCAGGCCGGACATGTGCTGGAAGTACTCCTCCTTCTCCACCTGCACCGTCATGTTCGACACCCCGCACTCCTTGAAGACGGCCGTCACCTGCAACACAGCGCGACGTGCATCGTGCAGCACAAACATGTGTCCCCCGTTAGCCTTCCTTGGGTGGATAGAGCCTCGGTGAGGGCCACCCAAAAGCAAACCAACATCATAATTTGTATGTATGTTTGTTGAACCTTTTTCACACCGTACATAGCCAACCGTGCTAATCGGAGGTGTTAGGGGAAGGACAACAAACTTAACACAAAAATAAATTTTAAAGAAATGAGTTTTCAATGTAGATTATTTAAAAGTGCATATAGCTCCAGTGGCTTCCCAATTTCAGAAGAGCGTTCCAGGTGGCCGCAGAAGCGCATCTGAAAGTGTGCGATGCGGTGACCGTCTTTGTTCGATGGTTCGCCAAAATCCGCTGCGAGGATGACCGGAGCTTGTGTGATGAATGATGCTCTTTGTCGAGATCAGCAAGCTATTATGGCTAATTTGTAGCAAGCACTTTGTGTGTAATGAGTGCGACCTTAGAATGTATTTGTCCGGCAAAGGTTTCATTAAAATGTTGATTCGATATTTTTAAATAAAAAGGTTCTTCTTTCTTCACCTCCTTGACAGATGTTTGTAATGTTGAAAGACCCCCAAAGGCTTTGGAACATGGGCGTACAATTACGTGGAACATAACGTTCTTGGACCATAGGGCAGCCCCCCCATGGTAGAAGGGAGTGGGAAGCACAGAGAAGGATATTGACCTGGCAAGAACAAAAAAACTTAACCCCTCCCCCAATTATAAATCGCGTTTGTTATTGCTCACATGGGTGCCACCCATGTCTCAGATCTTTGACATTCCTGTACAATGATAATGGCACAATAATGGCACAATAAACTTTTTGAAGTGACAATAATTGCAAGTTTAAAGGCTGACTCACTTACCGAAGAGACTGCGATAACCTATGATTTTGGTTCATATTTGAAAAACACATCAATAATGAGTTTACGAGCAAATGGGGTGAATGTCAAAGCACTGGGCCTGCATTTGCCTATATCTTGAGCTTTCAATCCATCCAGCACGATATACACACGGTTTTCAAATGTACAAGTGGAATGAGTTTATAGTCTAAGCACATTCTCCAATGACTGTATGTAAAAAATATGTGTTTTTTATTTAGCATATTCCAGTTCTGAGCATGAATGTTGGTTTGATTGCTAAGTGAAGAACACTCTTCGGAGGGCATATAAAAGTGTCCCTCTAGCATTACGTATTGTGTGATGTCCTTTTCCTGGGTCCTCTCACACACTGCTCATAGTGAGATTCAAATTAGACACTTCTCTAATCTCATGAATGACTGCGATGGAATAAAATCAAAGTAAAATATCAAAATAAGAAAAACAGTCAAGTGTAAGCGACATGCAGAAAAAAGTTGGAACTGTAGCAGCAGGAGTTGTACCTGCTGCACGACCCGCTGCTCCACGACTCCCACCTGCACCTGCACGTGTAATGTGCCCGCCACAACTGCAGCCGAGTGCCTCCAGAAGTAGGGGTTACGGTAGGAGAGCACGCCGTCCACGTTCAGCACCTGCCGGAGACAGACATACGTGCGCACACGATATCAGCTGTACGAGACCTGACAATAATACCGATAAACCATTCGGTAGGGTTGTAAATGATTTGTCAATTAAATTGCATTGTACTGGTAGGAACCTCCTGGTTACACCAGCCCACAGGGGATTATTGTCTCCGTCGTGCAGGGAGGGGCTGGGTGGGGAGGGGAGGGTGGGGAGGGGCTGGGTGGGGAGGGTGGGGAGGGGCTGGGTGGGGAGGGTGGGGGCTGGGTGGGGGTGGGAGGGGTGGGGCTGGGTGGGGAGGGGCTGGTCACTCCGTGGTGCCCTTATAAAACTCAACGTTTAACCTACTCACGCCGGCTTGTGCCCGCCCTCACAGTCGGGCATATTTGCGGAATACACCACGCCGCCGTTGACCCTGGCCATTGACCGAGCAACCCAACGTTCTTACCAGCTCCCTCCGCAGGAATGTGTTCTATATATATTTCAAAAAGGGAAATTTGTGAATGTGTGTCTGTTCGAAATGTTTAGCATACTTCTCAAAATGCAACAAACTTCAAATTTGGCGTGTGAGTAGCTTCCAGACTGTACACAATGCAAAAAGTATAAAAATAGACTTTTGTATTTTCCGGGGGGGGGGGGGGGGGGGGGCGCAATAATGGATATATTTTGCACGGCAAGTGAGCGGTGACGTCTCATCTGTGATGTCACCCGCATGCGGAAGCGTTACGCAGTGTGCCTGCTGACGTCACGCATCCCCCCCCCACCCTCCGCGTAGGCCGTGTGTTAATCCAAGACAAGAATCCAAGTCTCGGGGGAAGCCGGGTAGTAAAGCTAGTTATTAATAAAAATTGGCGTGTGTAAGAATTGACTATTTGATTTATGTGCTATGTTACGGTGTGTAGTGGGTGATTAGCGCACTTCAATACGAACCTGATGACGACCCGAATTTAATTCCTGGAGTTGGCTGAAATCCAAAACGGTCATGGGGCCCCCTAACTTACCAACCCGCACTAGCTAGCGTGGTGAAGTATGGTCAAACAACTCCCAAAATGACACGCCATGGGGAGGCCTTAATCCAGCAGTAGACTGACGAGATAATTATAAAGAGGTTACGCCATAAACAATTCCTTTGACTCCAGCAGTCCAACTAGTTGAATTCAATTTACAGCAAAGCATAGCTTTAGTTGACTATTAAACGTGCAATTTCTCCAGGGCAAACGGGCTGGAGGGGACTAGGGGCCCAGCTAAGCAGGGGGAAATCAGACAGCTGGGAGGGGTTGGGGAGTGGATGGGGGGGGGGCATTTAAATCATTGCACCAGGGCCCACCATAACAACCGCACTCTGCTCCCACTGTCACTCCGAACCTTGTTGAGGCCGTTGGCGAGCTCGCGTTCGCACTCTGGGGGGCAACGGAGGACGAGCACACGGCACGAGTCTCGCAGCAGTGGCACCACGCTCAGGAAGATGAGCACCGAGATGAACAGCGAGCAGATGGGGTCAGCGGCCAGCCACCCGAACTGCCTGATGAGCAGCGACGAGACGATGACGCCCACGCTGCCCAGTGTGTCGGCGAGGACGTGCAGGAATACGCCTTTGACGACAGCGGCAACGTTCAGAATCAGAATGTTTATTTATACTGGAGGAATTCGATGAGCTATGAAGCTCTTTGTCACCGATGTCCAGCAAGGGACGGTCAGAACGTTCCAACAACAAAAAACACGATAGGAGTACAAAGTATAGGAAAGGTAAACAAATCACTTAAAAATATATAAATAAAACTAAACTATGTTTTATCTTACAAGATAAAGCCCACTGAGCTGTTAACTTGTTTTCCAGAAGCGACCTGGCCACAAATGACAGCTCAACAAAGTGGCTTATCACGTGGAATTTTATAGCAGCAAAATAACCTAAATAATCAGGTGGTCGGCATAACCCAAAACATAAAAAAATAACATACGTGGATTATTACGTGATGTTTTACAACACATGTTCGTCCTCCGAAGCATTAGATCAGTGATCACATTATCCACCCCCTCCCCCCCCCTCAGCCAAAGGCTGATAGGCTGCGATGAAACCACGGGGCTCAGACAGCAGCTCTGCCTCACAATGTAGGTATTAAGCAGGGCCGTTAGGACAACTATGGCAAGTGTGCACTCTTCGCCACGACGTCCACGCACCTCTCATATTGGCGTTGAGGCCACCACCAATACCACCGCCGCCGCCGCCACTCTGCCCATGCGAGTGGCCATGGCCGTGACTGTGCCCGTGCCCGTGGTCCGAGTGGGCATGGCCGTGGTGCTCCGAGTGCGAGTGACCGTGCTCCTGGTGGCCCGAGCAGCCTCCGGCGCGGCCGTGGGCGTGGCTGTGCGCGTGGCTGAAGGCGCAGATGCCCACCAGGTTGACCAGGAGCCCAGCCACCGAGACGGGCTGTGACGCGCAGGTAAAACAAACGGACGTGAGACGTGAGTTGTATGTGCGAACCTTGGTGGGGGGGGGGGGGGGGGGGGAGCGTTGACGAACAAGTGGCGCGCCACCGACTGCAGCGATCGCGCACGTACGGTGAGCATGTCTGTGTTGATGTGCGGGGGGTCGACGAGGCGCCCGATCGACTCCAGAAACACGAAGAAGGCGATGACCATGAGGAAGAGGCCGTTCACGAACCCCGACAGGATCTCCACTCGTCCATAGCTGCATGACGGCAGTGAAAGCCCATGTGAGGACACGGACGGTGCATTTTATCACGCAAAACACAAATTGGTTTTGTTAAAACATTTTGACCAGAACATTTAAAAAATGTTACACTATCTCCCCACATGGGTTATGATTTGAAACATATTGAGTATGCGTTTTTCAATTACCCACCACCCAATGATTTGAGGAATTGTCATAAATAATTTGAAAAATCTATTTTTATCCTGTCTGTACTGTCTGCCTATTTTGTCGTGACATTCGTCCCCATTGAGAGATTATTTGGGCACCGCAGTGGCGAGATTTTCACTCCTTCGCCTGGCATTCAGGGTTTGAACCCGACCCTGACACCTGCTTTTTTGGAGTTTGCATGTTCTCCCTGTCATTGCATAGATTTTTCACCAGGCGTTTAAAGTAATCGACTACTATACATTTCCACATAAGCCACTTCGTTGAGCAATCATTTGTGGCTTCTGAAAAAAGAGCTTTAAAACTCAGTGGGCCTTACCTGGTAAAATAAACGGTAAATATTTCACCCGAGCTTTTGAACAAGTAGCTTTAAGTCTATGGAACAATTTTTCCGGTATCAAGATGAAAAAAATATGCTTTAACCCTATTCTTTTTTCACATTCTGAAAGTCATGCCACCTTGGGCAGAGCTCATTTTCGCTTTGGTTTGTGGCCTATGTGCACCGGCCATGATGTTGTTGAGGTGGCGCTTGCTTGCCTGCTTGCTGTGCCTCACCCATAAGAGAAGATGCGAGTGGGCTTCCAGCGTGTCATGAGGGCTGCGAAGAGGCCCAGCACAAGTGCCGAGCAGTCAAACAGCATGTGGAAGCCGTCCGATATGAGGCCCAGGCTGTTGGTCCACACTCCGTAAAACAGCTCTACAAAGGTGAACATCTGCCAGTGGAGAATAATGAATCATGTAAAATATTAATTTCCGACAAGTTTTCGAGAGCCTTGAGACTCATTTTCAGGAGGGTCCTGCAATGGAGACAAGACAATTTGGATTCGTATAGCATCTAGACGCGAATCAAGATGCTGCACAAATGCCAATATTTTTGATAGAAGCAGTCAGTTGTAGGCAGAGGCAAAGATAAAGATCTTGAGCCTAGATTTCAATGGAGGCAGGGAGTCAACAGCACAGATGGTTTGGGGAATTGAGTTTTAAACTGCGAGGGCAGCAGAAGAATTATCCAAATGAGAATTGGATAATTCCATCTTACGGAATATTTAGCTTCACGTAGGAAGAAACCAAAGTACTTAAATAAAACCTATCAAGCACATGTGGGAATAACAGGGGAGAGTACAAACCACTGCACCATCGCTCCCCCCATACACACACTCGCAAACATTCCCCATACGGTTATACAGAATGCTGGAACAATGCTGTTGGCGAGCATCTATTAAAGCCGGAACCGCAGACAGCGGAGTGGTGTGACTGCCACCATGCGCGGCCGGCTTTGCCTCCAAAGTGATGAAATTAAAACACACCCCACACTAGATGCTCATTTAAGGCCGAGTCGACCAAGGTGTAGTCCCAGGTGACCGGTCCAGATATCCGTCACCAATGTTAGCAATGACTGGGAACCGAACTTAGATTACCAGGTTCATAGTGTGGTGCACTAATCACTGCTCCATCACTCAACCAAGCACACACACACACAAAAGCCTGCTGTAATAGTGCATCGTATGCACTCACACCATAAGCTATGCTCTTTCACTAATCCTCCATGCTCTGTAAATCCACTGGCTCTCTTTTGGCCGGAGCAGCATCGGATTAGAGGGGAGGGGGGTATTGTACTGTACTGCGGCAACATAACACTGAGTGGTAGCTCTAAGAGGAACATGAATTGAAAAATACTTACGTACAATTTATAGATTCTGTAAAGCGTCTTGGAATAAGGCGCTAGATAAATATAGATGAGATACTCAACAAGTTTGCCATCAGCATTGTTAATACTATCCTTAACAGTGCTAACACTACCAGGGTGATTGTATTGTCTCATCCGTACGGTGTTTCACCACCATACGACTGGGGGTCAAAACCCTTCCCTTTCTGCTTATTGTCACCCACTGCTCTGCTGAGGAATTCCCTCCCCTTATCTCTTTTATTTTTTCCAAGATGTTTAAAATCTTGCTCCATTCAACGAACGTGCCGTTGGTTGCTGGGCGCTTGGTGTTTTAGGCCTTTGGGCCCTGGGCTCAGTAACCGTGGGAAGTAACACATTACATACATAAAAGCACCATCATCATGATCATCAAAAGTGCTAACAGCATCATCGTATTCCATTGTGACACGATGTGTCCATCAACAGTGCCATCACCTCTATTATAATTCACAGCATTAACACCTTCAACCAGTCGTGGGTTGCTCATTGCAGATGAAACACCATTATCAGTGTCACCTACCACCTTTGCTGTGAACAATGTTACTGCCCTCATTACGAGTGTAAACATATACTTCTTTAATGGGAATAAACATCAATTGATATTGTTAACATCTTCATCAGTAAGTTTTATTAACACCTTGATCGTCAAACGGTCTTAACATCGCTAATGACAAAGAAACCGGGTTCTTTAGGTATATTTGTGCTCGAAATGCACCTTGCCAATGCAGTCCCTTGTATCAGATATCTTGGTTGAACTGATAACCCCCCCACCCCAAGAAGCCATTGGTATTTTAAACCAACCAATTGGCCTAGCCTTCCTGCCACATTCCCCTTGGAACCAAGCATGAAAATGACATCAAATCATCGATTCAAATCTTGATAGTCACGGACCATGCATCAATTAATGTGAGAAAAGATGATTTTCTATACATGCAAAATACATGCTAACATTACATGTAGGCTGTGGCTCATGAAGACGAACATGTCAACAGAAGAAACTAGAGGGTAAGACTGGAACAAGACATTACTTTCTTGCACAGAAACACGACCAAGAAATTGTAACACTTCATCAAATCGCTGGGCTGGGTGGGGGTGGGTAGGTGAGTGATGTGTAGAGAATCATGCCAAGCGGGGCTTCATTTCTGCTGGGTCTGTCCAAGGTTGACCACCCAGAAAATATGACCATGCTCGGCACACTATATCCACTATACACCTGGCTATGTATTGCCGTGGCTATTAATCACGTGCCTATTCTAGTCTGCCTCTGATAAGCACCTCCCATTAGCACGGTTTGCTATGTACGATGCGAAAGAAGTTCAACATACAAACATACAGAGCACGAGCGGTCTGGACGGAACATTTTAACACGTAGGCTTTCGCGACCAATATTATTCATACTATAGGTTTTTGGGTCAGATCGCATTATTTATGAATGTGTCGTAACCCTCCACCACCCGATACGGCCATTCTTGCCCGATGAAGCTGATTGTAATTATCAGCGACACGTCGTACTACTCAAATTTTAAAATGCTGTTGATTCTCTCTACAGCACACCGGTGGGCTAAAGAAGTAAATGATTTGGTCCTTTGAAAAACGTGACACATTTTTTACTGTTTGGCCGTGTCGGGTGGTGGAGGGTTACGACACATTTATAAATAACGCGATCTGACCAAAAAACCTATATTATGGACGGAACATATTTGGTGGGGAAATTCCAGCCCCTGCTGACCGACTCGCCGACTTGTCACACGTACCAGATTGAGGCAGAGGAAGTAGAAGATCTGGCGAGAGTCGTACTCCTCCAGGATCTGCTTGAGGCAGTCCTTGATGAAGCGTGGCAGGGAGTGCGACGTGTGCTGCAGGGCATCCCCCATGAAGTTGTAGAGCGGCGTGCCCTCGGGGGAGTAGCCCACGAAGCTGCCCTTCTGCCCCCGCTTGCTCGGCGACGACAGGATGGCGGTGGCTGCGCCAGACGGTGGCACCGCGGGCATGTCAGTCGGTGACCAAACGCAAAAGGGCAGAGGTCACAAGGCAATGGACAATTCGTGAGTGTGGACGCTTGCCTTTGGGAGATTCTCTCAATGTACATTCCACTGCTGGATGAGGGCCTCCCCACACCGCGCAGGTCATAAGGGTTATTTGGACCATACTTCACCGCACTGGTCAGCGGGGAGCATATATGTAGGAGTTTTGTACTGGTAGGAACCTCCTGGTTACACCAGCCCACAGGGGATTATTGTGTCGGTCCGTCCGTCGTGCATCCAAAAATGGGAGGGGTGGGGCTGGGTGGAGAGGGGAGGGTGGGGAAGGGCTGGGTGGGGAGGTGCTGGGTGGGGAGGGGAGGGTGGGGAGGGGCTGGGTGGGAGGGGTGGGGCTGGGTGTGGAGGGGCTGGTCACCCCGTGGTGCCCTTATAAAACTCAACGTTTAACCTACTCACGCCGGCTTGTGCCCGCCCTCAGTCAGCCATATTTGCGGAATACACCACGCCGCCGTTGACCCTGGCCATTGGCCGAGCAACCCAACGTTCCTACCAGCTCCCTCCGCAGGAATGTGTTACGTGTCATACCCAAGAATCAGCTTGCATTACTTTCAACCTGGACATCTTCTCTAATCCATGTTTCTCTGTCACTCAATGTAATTCCAAGCATGCTTCTTTGTGCACTTTTCATTTTTTGTTTCTTGTGAACGATATGCTGTAGCAGACAGGACGGGCCGATTCATTCATCATCATCAATCTAAATCTGAGCAGCCCTACTGAAGAAGGGCACCCATACCAATCAGTTACTCGGAGAGACGCCAGTCAAATTGCGTTCCCTTCAACCCGTACTAACCAGCATTGTGAGGTATGGTCAAATCCACCCCCCCAACCTGAACCCATGACCGATGCACTTAAACCAAGGCAGTATCGTGAGAGGTAGCAGTAGATTGACCATGGCTGAGGATGACGATAATGTATGTATGAATGTTGAACTTCTTTCGAACCGTACGTAGCCAACCGTGCTCGTCGGAGGTGCGGGGGAAGGACAACAAACTAAACACAAAAAGCAGCTCTAAAGAAATTAGTTTTCAATATAGATTTAAAAGTGCATAGCTCTAGTGGCTTACTAATATCGGAAAGAAGTGTTCCAGATGGCTGCAGAAGCGCATTCGAATGCATGCAATGCAGTGACTGTATTTGTTCGATGGCGAGCCAAAGCTGCCGCTGCGAGAATGACCGTAAAAATTAATCTATAATAACGAATCCAAAATAACAACCTAGTCCATCCCAAATAAGCGCCCACCTATGAGGAAGAAGGTGGCGCTGACGGCCACGCCTCCAGACAGTACGTGCTCCGTGTCGCCAGGGCCTGCGGGCCGCTCAAAGGGCCGCAGCGTGTCGGCGAGCGGGTGCCCCCAGAGCCATGCGAGTGCCAGCGCGCACGGCACCAGGAAGACGGCGCTGAGACGGGTGCAGCGCGCGTTCTCCAACTTGGCGACGCACACCGCGTCCGCGTAGTAGTCCAGCACGCACACGGTGAACACCACCACCAGCAGTGGCCACAGCAGCTGGCTCCACGAGCCGACCTTGTTCTGCGGCGGCGGGGGGTGGAGGGAAGCCCACGCGGGAATGTCCACGGTAACGTGTTAAGTGTGTGTACGGGTCTCTTTTGTTAATACACTGCCGGGCTGTCACGCTTAGCGACCAAAAGGGGAAGAAAAAGGGGGCAAAGGCGAAAATGCAACACCGTGGGTTATAATGTACAGCCATTTTGTCAGTCTGAGCCCCACTACCGATACGACATGCGGAAGCACTGATGCGGTCGTGGACCGACTTGGTTTTTAACCTATTAACAATTACAGGACTCCTCTTATCAGCCTATTAGCCGCAATTTTTTAAGAAAAGCTGGAGTCGCAAGGCAAATTCGTCACGATTATCCACGGGTTATTCGCATTTTTACCTCGCAAATTAGTGGAGTAAAATTGTGAAACAATAAGATTCGCAACTTGGGTCCCCCACATTACCGTTAATAAGAGGAGTAATCCCGTACATGCCTAATAACCCAGGTTTCCATTGCATGACATAGGACTTCTTCACAATTCTGGCTAATTACCTGATGAAGCTGGTTGTAATCACCAACAAAATGTCATACTCGAATCGTAAATGTTATGGGTTTACTTTCCAACACACCGGTGTGCTGAAGTAGTAACTATTTGGCACGTTTTGTTTACGTGACAAACCTTGCTGATTGGCTGTATCGTATAGTGGCAAGTTTAACAACACATTTATATTTACACAGTCTCACCCAAAAAAAACCTTTATTATAGATATTGGTTGCGAAAGCCTACGTGTTAAACTGCATGAGATAGTTAACCTTCCCGATCTCTCGTCTGTTTTAGTACAAGACAATTACATGTCCAAACAACTTAACAGTGGCTACAGCAAGAAACCATCACTCCAGCAAATGAGAGGGACACAATACTGACGTGAACAGCGCTGTTGACATCATCGCAGTCGTACCTCCGTGGTGGATGACAGCACGAGCGCCCAGGGCAGCAGCAGGCCGGCCGACACCAACGTGGAGAGGGCGTTGAGGCGCTTGCTGCCCCCCACCTCTATCGAGAGCTTGCGCGAGGCCACGTGGTAGCCGACCTTGAGCAGCAGCGTCAGCACCAGCAGCAGCACCCCACCCTGTGCACAACCGTGTTCACACTCAATGTTACCACCACTGCCAGGGGGTGTTACAAAAAGGGGGCAAGACAATGAGTGAGATTCATATCAACCGGATGTGCCACACTAATTACACCCACAAATATGCAGGGGATAACGCCTGTGATCCAGAAATGTGGAGGGCGTTAATTGTTGGTGGATCGTAGAGATTTGTAAAACTCCTAACCTTGCCAGGCTGAGAGGTGGCGATTACATGGCAAAATGGTAAATATGTTTGTGTACCTCTCTGTATGGGCCTTTTGAGTGGATTTTCTCTGGCCACTCCCATTTGTTAAGCAATTGGCCAAACACCAGAATGGACCAGCAGTCTTCAGAAAATACTTGAGACTGAAGTTTTTTTTTGTTATAGGTAAATGACATATTTTTATTACGTATTTTTAGCCTTCCATTATTAGACTGCAGCAAAGCAACTCAATTACCTTGTGATCTGCCAGACCCAGAAGAGAAATGGCAGTATGCAGCGCATGGGTCAAGGCACTGTCGTGATGGTCTTCAGCTGTGTACAGCTTAAGGAAAAGAAACATCTTCCAAGAAGTCACATCGTCAACAACATAACATGCTTAAGGCTTATTAATAAACGAAAAAAACACATTCCTGCGGAGGGAGCTGGTAAGAACGTTGGATTGCTCGGTCAACGGCGGCGTGGTGTATTCCGCAAATATGGCCGACTATGAGGGCGGGCACAAGCCGACGTGAGTAGGTTAAACGTTGAGTTTTATAAGGGCACCACGGGGTGACCAGCCCCTCCCCACCCAGCCCCTCCCCACCCTCCCATCCCCACCCAGCCCCTCCCCACCCTCCCCTCTCCACGCAGCCCCACCCTTCCCATTTTTGATGCACGACGGACGGACACAATAATCCCCCATGGGCTGATGGAACCAGGTGGTTCCTACCAGTATAAATTTTAAACATTATCCAAGTAAATATTTACATGGTGAAAAATGATCTCGGCCAAAGTAAACACTCATTAAAATGAAACATTAATCGGCTGAAAACATCTTCAGAGGACTGCAGAGCTTGGGCAATTGTTGGCACCAGCTCACCACCGAGATGCTGCCTTCCAGCTTGTCTTTGGATCCTCAGTGATTGCGAGATGCAATTTTAACGAACGACGCATAAAACTAAACGTTATTATCGTTGTTAAAAATGGCAACAAGTAAAGGAAGCAGTGAAGCTGGCGCAACACAATAACAGTTGGAAAGATCTTATATGGCCCCATCATCTCTAAAATACAACAGAAGGGAAATAAAGATGAGTTAATATAGCTTTACATCAGAAGGGAAGTGGGGCATTGCATTACAAACCTGCCATTGTGCATTCTATAAAACTATTTATTTTATTTTATCAGGTAAGGCCCACTCAGCTATAAAGCTCTTTTTCAGAAGCGACCTGGCCATAATTGATAGCTCAACGAAGTGGCTTATCACGTGGAAAAGTATGGCACCTATAATTAGCACGGTTGGCTACATACGGTGTAAAAGAAGTTCAATATACGTACATACACAACAGCCAAATGCTCTAAATTCATGTTTCGAAATGTGAAGGGAAACCCGGAGAACCTGGAAAAAATCCATGCGACCACAGGGAGAACATGCAAACTCCAAATATACAGGAGTCAGGGTCGGGATCGAACCCACGACCTCCTCTATACCAGGCGAGGTAGTTAACATCTCGCCACCGTGGCGCCCCAATTCAATTCCTGGTCATGGCTAACATCAGCGGGGAGCGATACCCGAACCAGTCCTGGGCCACCCCTTCACCAACAGCAACTTCTGAGCATGGCAAAGACAAAACAAACCCCATAGCCAAGACAGTATGCAAAGGCCTTCATCTAGCAGCGGATTTACAATGGGCTGCACACAATACAAAAACACACACAAAGGCTTTGCAAAAGGATACGATGCTCTGCAATTTTAGCCATGAGGTCATCGTTGTCGAACAATAACAGGCAGATGACGCCGATGATGAATAATACAGATCCTCTGGTCTGTGGAAATAAGGAAAATTACATGACTAAAATCCTCAGCTCTCTGGACCTCACGAATTACACACATTATTTGCATCTGTACTGGAAAACAATTAAATAGAAATTGCTTTTGTCAGAGACAACGACAGCAACTGCATGGCTTTTAACCTTAGCAGGGCTCCCGGTGGAGCTTGTGAAGAGAGTGGTGAGCAGCGATAGCACCAGGAGGTCACTGTGTTCAAACAGCAAAATGGTCCTGCGAAAACAACATAAATAATATTTAACAAAAACTTTTTTAAAAACACGTTTTTATGAAATGTACTAGTGATGGCAGAACTCCACGACTCCAGCAAGTGACCCCGAAGCTTGCCTTAACGTAAGGGACCGTGATGATTTACAGCCAACATCAGTTGAGCGTGGACAATTAGACCCAAGCCGAAACATAACATATAAAAAATAATTTTTAAAAATATCTATTTTTTATGATAGAATATAGTATTGTCATCAGTATGACATAAGTATACCAAGTTTGCAGTCGATACCACATTGGGAAGTGGGTTAAAATTGAGTTACAAGATTTGAGGATACAACGACAACAACAACAGACAGAGTGAGTTAAAAGAAAGCGTGTAAAAAGTACATCATTGTAAAATAAAATACTAAAAAGGGAATTGACCAAACATCTCACTTGACATACCTTTCCTTAAAATGAGTCACAAGACTTTAAAAAGGAAACAAATAATTATATTATATTATTTACAAAAAATAATGTGGTCAATTACCTATTTAATCCCACTCACCACTGTTAAGCTTTAGCAGTCTAAATGGCGGGGAGTTGATCAGCGACGTTTATATGTTCATGTCGAGGTTGGTAAGTGAGCAAGTGGATGGCTTCAGCGCATCCTGGTAAATATCTTAAAGTCTACCAGCGAATTATTGAAACGGGTAGTGGTGTTACTATGTGCTCCATGATTTTAGATTGATGACTAGTCATATGCCATGGGATGATTTTATATAACCACATAATGTTGAATAACAGATTTAAGTAGAATTGCTATCTTTGCTTTTTGTAAAGTGACATCTAAAAGCACTCACCTCAAGGGTCCACAAAGTGCAAGGCCGTAAAACCACAGCAGCGACACGACACAACCAAAGAATGCGTTTCGGACAATCTTCACCCACTGTAGAGGAAAAACATGTTAACAATTTCGCTATGGTATATCTTAAACATAACCCAGACCTTTTTAAATTAACGTGCAGGATCGAAACATGTTGTTTACACACCTGTCTCCGAGTGATCCTTTTGCCAGAAGAGAACGGCTTTTGGAAGAACAGCAAAAAAGCTGCAGACCTGAAATTACAATTCCTTATTTACTTATCAGTGGAAATCAATATTAAGGTTAATTGCACTAGCTTCTGTGTCTAATCTTAGGTGTCAACATAAAATCCAGCTGGAAGAACAGTGGCTAGAGCACACAACTCCAAAACTGAAGGCCAACAAGTTCAAATCCCAGTTCACACTTGACTCAGCGCCTATCCTGGAGCGACTAAAACCATTACCATTTTGTGAAAGGTCAAAAGTTGTACGCCCACCTGGATACAATAATTTCTGCAAAGCACATTATGTGGTTCCACCAGTGACTCAGGAATTTAATCTAAAGACGAACACCAGCCCACACTCTTCTGAGTAGAACCACTCTGACATTTGCAGCTGCAGAGCGATGTATTAATCAAATGTGACGGCAAATTCACGAACAGCGGTGAAGTACGCATGTCTGCAGACACTCACCCGAACTTGACCAAGAACACAAACTGGACAATGTTGACCACCCTCAGCAGGTCGTAGGCTTCGAAGAGGCCAATACATTTCAACAACTTCGCAATGGCCAACAACACGATGTACCTTGCCACCCTGAAGGTTCAAAAGACAATAGGAAAAATCACAGCTTGTTATTTCACCAGAAATTCGTCCATCGTAGCGCAGGGCATCCCAAAAATGTGTGCACCACACCATTGCTCGTTTGTGCTGGGAAACATTTTCACCAGTGCGTCTCTCCATTGACAACTGAGAAAAATACAATGCGTTTCCTTAGATGAGGGTGGGGGATCATTTTCATCGCTGAGAGAACATAACTTTTAAAAACCTTTGACAGACCACACATTAACAAACGCCTCATTCAAATGTCGCTACAAGAGACCCTTGCAGCAACATGTCACTGCGTACACTAAGATTATAAAAAAAACAATGTTTCCACGTTGAAGATATTCCAAGTACTGTAAGCAAATAAAGTGCGGCTATGGTGCTTACAGAGACAGATACGTTTCATGTGTGGGCCGTTTCAAAGTGGAAAGACTCGTGTAGGCACCAACAGACCGTAAAAATTTAAGTATCTGGGCCATGAGGCAAAGGGTCCTGTCCCATTCCTTAGAATTGTGCTAACGATTACAGAAATGATGGTAGCTCACGCCTGTAATGCAATGTTTTGGATGCAATGTTTGGGCTGCAAGTTGCCCAAAGTGGGCCAGATTTTCAGACACGCCAAAGGGTTCGGCTGTGTGGACAATTTCGTTTTTTGCGTGGTCAGTTTTCTACCTTCAGTTGCAACCGATACACAAAACATCCAAATGCAGCAATCTACCAAGTACCCATACCAAGATCAATATCTGATAACCATACGACAACGCGGACTTACCCAGAATTGTGGTTGCTCCCAATCGACCCCAGCTTGCCGCTGGAAATCACGTTACTGCTGTATTTTTCTTCCATGGTCGCTTCGTATTAAGATGTCGAGAATCGTAAATATGTATTATGCTTGTAAATATTGTAATATATTCTAAAATAGTTGTGCTTTCTCACGTTTGTTACGCTCCTGGTTTACGTTTCAGCGACGATCGCTCTCAGTGAACCACTTAATATTTGAGGTCTCCTCTGCAATAGACCATCTCAATTGGACCTCACTTCGTACATGTGCAGTATATACACACACACAAATATATGCACCATTTAGGTATATGTAAATATATTCTAATACATGTGCGTACGTGTATTTATGTAATTCAGTACGTATATGGATTCTAATGCAACACGGATACGCTGTCAAACTACTTCACTACGTTTATCAATCATCTTGTGGGGACACAGCACTAACAAAAATGTGAACAATTTATTAATATGGGAAAACGCGAGTTATGGTGACAATTGTCAAACATTATTTAACATTACAACATAGCGACGCTGCTATTAAGGTGCCACTTAAATGAGAAATGTACACTGAAGAAACCAACGAGATCATTTATTTTGTCGCGACACCCAATTTCTAAATCGTATTAATTCGCCTCAAATACTTTAAAGTCTTAGACGTTTAACACTGGCAGAGGCGGTGCCTCTGTGTGCTGCTAACCACATCCCGTGACTTCTTTGAAGCGCAACGGATGCGAGCCACCGACCGAGACGATATCAACAACAACAACGAGTATGCGTGAGAACTGCGACTATTTACCTTAATTGTTTTAAACTATTTAAATGTCCCTGTTTACCGGGTACAGTGCGCGGAGCCGCGCGTATAGGCCCCGCTCGGAGGAAGCAACGTAGCGCACGCCGAGTGCCTTTTTCGCACGCGCAGATTCACGACGGTCGCGACAACTTATACATTAACATCTTATACATTAAAAAAAACATAATACGGCAAACCCCCCCACCCCCCAAAAAATGTAATAACGATGCGACATTATAACTGCTATAGGTAGAAACGCGCCTGTGGAACAAAAACATAAAAACATTTTTTAATGTCATTTATTTTCAGGAGGTGGCACGAATCTGCGCGCTCGGCAACCGCCGCCGCTCATCGAGACTCGGCAGCGCCACTCGACGCGGCGTTTCCCGCCAAATCGAGCGGGTGGCGAGCGCTGCGCAGGCGCCATCTTACTGTAGTTTTTATAGCAGCCAAATATTAAAAAAATAATCACAATATGAGTGCAAAGTATATGGAAGGTAAATAAATCACTTAAATATGTAAATAAATACTCTTTGGTTATTTCGGTAAAGTCACGTAGGTATAAAATAAAAAGAATAAAGCAAATAAAACTAAACAATTTGTTGGTTATCATATCAGGTAAAGCCCACTGGAGGTTATTAACTGTTAGACGCGACCTGGCCACAAATGATAGCATCAACAAAGTGGCTTAAATTTCGATTTAAAGCTTTCGTGACTGCAGGGATTCATCTTCTTGGTTCTTTCGGTAGACTCACGTAGAAGTGAAGTAATAAAATAATAAAAATAATTGTATTTTATAATGTTTTTATTTTATTATTTCCCTTCTACGTGACTTTACCAAAAGAACCAAGAAGATGAAAGTGGCTTAAATCGTGTGGAAATTAAAATGTTATTGTAACCAAGTCGCTTCTGAAAAAAAAGAGACCTACACAGCTCAATGGGCCTTACCTGTTACAAAAATGTAAAAAAGAAAATTCAACGCAAAAAGTGTAGTTTTTAATTACAGATTAGTGGGGTTTGTTAGACAAGTTAAAAACCCCTACGTAAGATGGCCGCTGTAGCGTCTCCTGCACGTGCACAGGCAGCAATCGAGCGTGTTGTGGATTCCCATCGCTTCGTCGCAACGGGCAAGAGGCGGCGTGGTTGGTGGTGGGATCGCAAAAAAAAAACGTGAGAGCCATGCCGGGACTGGACGAGGCTACTGCTGCTGCTGCTGCTCTCGGTTAAACGCAACGAAGTGAGAAGAATCGCTCGAATTGAACGTCAGCGATAATGGAATGAACTCGCTCGGTGGACGTTGATCGTCACAGGTGAGAGAAGCTCGGACGAGGGAGTTTGAGGAGCTGCTGCTGCTGCTGCCCGGGGTGGGGGGAGCAGAGAGGAGAGGATGATGATGATGGAAGAACCCCGGGGGAGATTGTTTGGGCGGTGTCGCAGTGAGAAGAGGAACTCACGCGGCCGACGTTGATTGTAATTCCCGCTGCTCTGCCCGTCTCGGAGGCTGCTTCGTGAGCGCCGATCACACGCAGAGCTCTGGGTCTCTGTCCTTATCAATGTGCTCCCACAAAGTCCTCTTCGTTGGGCTCTGTATTCGTCTATATTAAGTGGGCCGCGTGTTGTGGCCTCGTATGTGGGGCCGGCCCCGTGTTGTCTGGCCTCAATGATGGCATCTCTTTAAACGGGGGTGGGCCCCCCATGTTTCTCTCGTCTCTCTGCAATGCGCTGTTTAAATGGGACCGATGGAATCTGGGCCACGTTAAAATTGTCCCTTTTAACAGGGTCCCGGATTTTATGTGCTCCCAAAATGTCTTTTTAAAGGAACTCATAAAAATGTGCCCAATGTCCCTCTGGTTTGCTATTAAATAGGCCCTATGTCATCTCGTATTTGCCTCTTAGTTTTTGGACATTTACCAGACAATGTCAGAACGACATCCATATTCATGATGCCTCTGGGGCCGATACTGTACTTTTTCAATTTTCCAGCTGTTGAAGATGTGGTCTTCACGTTCTCTTGATCACTTTTTCATGGGCCCCTATCTTAAATCTAACACATTGTGCCGGTGGCAATGGTACGATTTATACGATGCAACATTTCAACTTCTCCGACCTATTACATCAAGCCACAGCAGAATGAAAAAGCTACCCCTTGAAGAATTTATGGGGTTAAATGTGTTTTATTTAATTATTTTCGTTTTCTTTTGTAATCCCAGTTTTTTCTTAGGTGTCCTATCATGAGACAAAGTATCGCTTTGTATCTCTCAACCCTTTCAATCGGAGAACGGCCCATGGAAGCGGATATCACAGAGCTACCTCTGAGATCACCGCAATAAGCTCCAGTTCGCACAGTAGGGGGCAGCAACTTCCCACTGCATATGAGAGTAATGATAGTCGCATCACATTCAAACCAATATTTTCATTTCCAGCTGTAATGTAGTCAGGTGTTTTCTTTAACGTGTGGATCATTAACAATCTTGAACTCCTGTACCCCTTCCCACCCATAGCTCGTTTTGGAGCGGTTTGAAGTCTCTGGACGTTCGACTCGGCGGAGAGAGTGACACATCGCGCAGAGCGCCTGCTCGCGACGCAGAGAGAAGCAGGGCCATGGAGCTGGCGAGTGCGAGCGTCGTGGTGATCCAGACCCTGACGCGCGCCACCAACCAGGATGCCAGCGTGCTCAAACCGGCGGAGGAGCAGCTCCGCCAGTGGGAGATCCAGCCTGGCTTCTACAGCGTCCTGCTGGTGAGCACTGGCGCCAGCTGTGACGCCGACTTAAAGCCATGGATGCACGAGAGCCAGTGTGAATTCTGACTGGAATTGCGTCAGGATTGTAATTGATTAAAATTCGGAATGTAATTGTAAATTTGTAGAAGAATGCTGCATAAATTGTCATCATATTTGACCCCGGGTCTGTTGTACACAAAGCAACCGTTGCCTTCGATGGTAACCAGAAATGTATTCGCTCCAAGCAACTGTGGCAACTTGGTATAGCAATGCCGTAGAGCGTGATTCTTCAACTATGTTTTCAGGCAGGCTGAATAATAAAACTGGTATGTCCTGGCAGGCCACGTATCGACATCTGAACATCTCTGCTAATATTGATTTCTACAGCTCTGTCATCTTAATCGTTGTTTATCTCTTTCATCTCGCTTGTCTCTATGCGAGCCAATTCCCTTGGTAAGCCATAGCTTTGTGGTCCACTTCAAGGGCAGTTGGGGACCACATCTTGCTTTGCGCTGCAAGTTTTAGAGCCCTGGCATAGAGTGATGGAGTTGTCTGAAGACTGCTTGATGACCAATGAGCATTTCATAGTTGTTAACCTCTTGTGACCTGATATAAAGTTTAACACTTTCATTTATTATGAAAGTTTCCAGTAGAATTGCCCACTAGGTGGCGTAGCAATCATATTTAACTACTGTAGATTTGGGCAACTGAAATTCCTATCATAGAAAATGTTGCAGAAACCATTGCTCTCATTGTTTGCCCGAACATGTACCCCGTGTGTAGTGGGCCTTTTGGTCCTTTTTTGTGGTTCAAATAACTATTACATTTCTATTCAAATATGTTATTTAGATTTTTTTTAATTTTACATGGGATTGAATGTAGTATGCTGGTCTGGCCTGTGAGCTCAGTGATAGAGTGGCTTTCAGTCAGAAGGTTGCGAGTTCAAATTCTGGTTGGGTGTTCATTCAGTCCATCATTCCTCAGAGGTTGACAAATTGAGAACCACATTGTGGAAAAATCAATAGTGGTTGTCCAATGGAGAGACTTCCCCCCTCCATAGAAATGTGTAATTTCCACCATTCTCTCTGGACTCTAAATAGGAGATGAACGCTGAAAATATCTGACTTTTGTCAGTTGTCATCTGAACGAATTGGACCGAGTAGAAGTATAAGGATTTGGGTAAGACCTGCTCAATTCACGTGATAACGCAAGTAACTTGGAAAATTATGGAAACGCCACTTTTTTTTTAACTAGCTTGTGTTGTCCATCATCTTCAGTTCTGGAATAACTGGTGAACTTGCGTGCATTTGAGTCTACTCTACTTGGCTGTTCAACCAAATTGGAATTTCTGGTACTCAGCCTCCTGTAGCGATCACTCGCTGTTTGATGTTTTCGAGTTAAGAGGTGTTACGGACATCCATATGTCTATCTGGTGCTTTGACGGGCGACTGAAGCCTGCTCCCATTGTGTCTGATTTAAGACGATGATTGATAGTATTACGACATTTAGGTTCAAATTGAAAATGCCACGTTTTTAAATTGTGTTTTTTTTTGTATGGCCGATTTTGTGGTGATGCACGGGGGCCTTTTGCGATAAGATGTCTTATACAAAACACGAGTGGTGGGGATTAAGATGGTGTCAGAAAAATCATTGGCATTTTTTAAAAGAAGAAAGCAAGTCAGTTTGGCGACATCTCACCGCGGCTTATCTCACAAACAGCTGCTCGGGGCCACCGCAGCCCTATTGCCACCATGCTGTGTGTGTAATTATTGATCGCTGTCCATATGAAATACACGGTCTTTTGGGAGGAAATCGCTTTTATGAAGGGACCCACAATGGTCTTTTTGCAGCCCACTGCTTGCAAGTATCAGCACTGTTCTGCTACTGTGTGGATTTCCTTCATCGGTGGATGCATTGCATTGACCCCGCACTGTGCTGCCATGCTGCGCGTTTGCTGTGGAACAACATCGCTGACGGTTCGCGGCCTAATTTGTGTGGCAGTTAAGCAAGAGGGAGTGCTGCCCAGTGACTGGTATGGGGCTTTCTATCCGCCACTTATTGTTCGATTCGATAAGTGAATAAGTGTTTTGTGCCATCCGCCTTTGAGCCTTCCAGGTCTGTGTTTTCTAGATGATGGCAAAATTTTTTTTTAAATACAGTAAAACCTTGGATTGCGCGTAACTTGGTCTGCGAGTGTTTTGCAAGAAGAGCAAACATTTTCTATAAATTTTAACTTGATAAACGAGCGAGGTCTTGCAATACGAGTAGTAAGTATACGCTTTGTCTGCCGAGCGTCACGTGATCACAACTGAGCCAATAGTTCTTCTCTCTCTCTATTGCTGCGGGATTGTGGGTAATCGTCTCCCATGCTCGGTTTC